TTTTAAATGTTTATTTCAAATTTATGTTTGAATAATTTAATAGTCAAAATAAATCAACTAAATTTAAAGAAAGGGAGTAGCTTTTTCATTTTTTTCTCAAGTTCTTTAAATAGAGTTTAGTATATTTCTTTTTGCAGCTAGTAACTATAAATTAAAATCTTGACAGACAATAAAAACCTTGAAATTTATGAAGAAAAAAGGAAAACACCCTAGAAAAAGATGTTGATTTCGTTCGCATTAGTAGAAGCTAGTATTTCATCCAATAAATTTTCTAATCCTAACATGTTGCAAGATAAGTGTTTACCTCTTTTCCGGGACAGATAACAAATCTTGTCGTTAGGGAAGGACTTTCCCGCCACATCCTCATGAAGATGCTTTAATTCCCCTTAGCCCATACCTACAATGAAATTTTGGAAGATGAGTTTCTATTTTTTTTTTTTTAACGAAAAAGTATGTTACAAGTTAAATTGTATTTTAAAAATATAGTGTAATTTATGAATTCATTAAATTACTTTTAATGAAATTATTTTTATGTTATTTTAGTAATAATAGTTTAGTAATTTTATTATCTGAATCGCACTTTTAATATACAACCCAATTTATAAAATATAAATCCCTTTTTTATAAGTTAGAATCAACCAATATGTAACTCTAACATACATTATTTATATAAAATTTTAACCATTTTGTGAATGATCTAGATTTATCATATTTTTTAAATAAGAAAGACAATTATTGTTGTAAAAAAAAAAAAAGAAGATAAAAAGTGAATAAATTTTAACTATTCATGTTAGAGAAATGAATAATCAAAATTTTATATAAGTTAATCTAATATATATATATTACGATTTGTTGCTTAGTATTATAAAATTTTAAACTCCTAAGTAATTTAAATTAAAATTTTTTAAATTAATGAGTATTAACTCAATGAAACTAATAAGAAAATACTTAATAATAAAGCAAATTTATCATTCCATCATTTCCCTTTCCCTTTTGTTTTTTTCAAATTAAACATATCTTAATTAAAAGCCTTTCAAAAATAATTTCATTCCCACCTAGACGAAGTTGTTCTTCCAAGCAATAGCTTTCTTAACAATGAGTTGGAATTCAAGGTCTTTCCCATCCATAACAAATATAAGGTGCAGATGCTAACAAGTTACTATTCCATCCAATAATTTTCCTAACAAGTCGTAATCAGTCAAGGTCTTCCTTGTCCATAACTAGCACGAAAGTGCAATTGCTAAATGTCAAGGTTTGCCTCTTTTTAGGACAAATAGAGACAACAAATCTTCATACTTACGACGAGGAAACATACATTCGTATTAGTCAAATTGCATATTCCTTCCAATACGGTTGAATGAAAAAGTGATTTTATCATAAGAACCGACAATAATATTGTGTTTTAAAAGAAATAGCAAGTTAGTCATGGTCTTCAACTAACACATCTAAGTCTTCCTTTAATAATTTAAATA